TGTGAAAGAATTTTATTCTACAGTCAATAACTTTTGGTCGCAAGATGAACTTTGCAAAAATGCAGAAGCGTGCGTTTAGTATTGATTGTGAAACATGAATATGGCGCGATTGTGGCAACCTGAACCCTGAATCAATTGTGTGGCGCCAAATTCCATTGTCTATTAAATACTAATATCGATTATTCTTTGAAAGAAAAATCTGACGACGCGACTTTCGGGTGAATCTTTTTTTTTTTTTACCTTCTCTAAATCTACCAATTCTCCTTCCTATACTTAAATTCCTCCATGGAAGATACACTATCTGATCTCGCCACCCCGACCAGTCCAGAACAACCACTCAGTCCACAGAGTTCTCGCAGTGGTGAAAACACAATCTCCTCTCACCGTAATGAAAGCCCCCTGTCCACGGGCAATCCCGAGAATGGTGATACCGGTTACGATGTCTATAGGCGAAAGCAGGTGGGGACTCCTAGTAGTTCGCAGAGTGACGATAGTATGAATCAAGAGAATATGGATGTCGATGACACGACGAATGAAAGTGATACCGAAAGAGATGATAATGTGCTAGGAGAGAGAGTAAGTTCAAGGAACGGGCCCATTTGCTCATTAGAGATCGTGTTGATATTTCTGTTATTAATCGGTATTTTTAACTGTACTGCTCCGTCGCACGGTATTTCTTATCATTTTTAGGTTCTTAATCAAAGTATCGTAACCGATGAAGAAAAGGCTGCCAACGCCGAATTTTTTTGCGGTAAAGCTGCAAAAACGCCCGAGCGCTACATGCGTATTAGAAATTATATTCTGAATGCATGGATAAATAGTAAGCCAAACTATGTGACAAAGACGAGTGTTAGACCAGGATTGAAGGTTTGTCATTTTATGTCGTCATACTGAATATCCCAGTTATAATTTTGTTACTTATCAATGCTGATAGCTATGTCTTGTTAGGACTGTGGAGATGTAAATGCTATCGGCCGCGTTCACCAGTATCTCGAAGACATAGGAGCGATTAATGTTGGTGCGGCCTCTCCATCTATAAAACATAAAAGGACGGTAAAGAGGAAAGCCCGTGTTGTCGAATATGTTTCTGATACGAGTTCAAGAGGAAAAGATGACGACGAATGGTACAAAGGAAGGTAATTGACTGGCTGGTATTTGAGATTGATGGTCGTAATTAGCGTGGTCGGTTGACATAGTATTCATCCTGACGATTTAAGGTCTCGCAAACGTCGAGTACGTAGCAGTAATGGAGATTGGTAAGTGGAACTGATGGAAATGGTCCTTTGTAATTCACAAACAACGGTACTGATATGTAATAAGGGTATATGAAAGAGACCTTGGTGGTCATGTAATATCTCATGATCCTAGTTCAGGTAATGTACTGACCATAATGCTATTCTGTATTGAATTCATCTCAAACTCGATATGCTAATTTGTGATTTGTTTAGTCGACGTGTCGGGAGGTAGACGAATGAGAAGGCGGAATAGAGTTAATTACAATGAAAATTATGGAACGAATGATCCATTCAGATTAGTTCCGCCACAGAAGCACACGGATAATAATCCGCCACCGTTCAGAGTTATAACATCTTCAAACGCAATGGTATTTGACGAGTAGATTTGAAAATTTTAATAGATTATTGTTATAATTCTAATGCGCTTTACCATTGTACAGCTGGTCATGGATTTTCATGCTCACTTGGTCTCCACCGAAATCATTGGTCTACTTGGTGGGAAATATAACCATGATGAAGGCTTGTTACAAGTGTCGATGGCTTTTCCCTGTCAAAGTTTCAGCACAGGATTCCAGGTGATTATGAGTAAAGGGCAAGGACAATATTGTGCGTAGATACTAACTTTGTACTCGTGGTTCGTATTTATCATTTCAGTGTGAAATGGACCCCAGCTCTGAGCTTGAAGCAAGAGATGCCTTTGCTGCGAAAAATTTGGACGTCATAGGATGGTATCACTCTCATCCAACATTCGACCCCCAGCCATCAATACGTGATATCGAAAATCAAGCCATGTATCAGGTACTGATTATGTTAGCTGAATCACTGTCGTGAAATGTTTCCAACTGTTCACTAATTGGAACTTATTAACGATTTTTATCTAACGTGAACAGGAATTATGTCGGCACGAGAGTGGTGTTGAACCGTTCATTGGTATTATCGTGACCCCATTTGACAGAAGAGACTCATCTAACATCTCAAAGTTTGAATTCCTTTCGATCGGAAATGATTACGAACCATTAGGAACTTATCGTACGTGGGCGACGCGTCATGCAAAGTATATTCAAATGACGTTGTATAACTAACTGGTATTTGATTTCAAATTCAGGGATCCCATACATTTGTCAAAGACAAGTCATACAAGATACCAATCTTTCGGAAGAATTGTATGCGCAACTGGAGGGTCTCGTACGAGAATATCAAGATAATAACGAGTGTGTTTCTGATAATTGACATTTGTGTTATTCTGTTGTGCCCTACTCACATTTTGTGATTCTTATTTAGTCGCGTAAATATGTGGGACGTATACCGTAATGATCCTGAAATTTCCCGACTGGACAAGTTTCTCCAATCGATATCATCTCATATATTCACGGATGTTGACCAATCAACAGCATTTATCAATCGCTTGCATGAGATGATTGAACGCGACTTCAAGCCATCTCCACCCAAGACAGTGGCATCCGAGAACGTTACTATGTCGATCGATGACGACGACGACGACGATGATGATGAGGATAATTATGATGCTGAGGAAGACAATCCACAGCATGAAGAAGGTGACGTAAAACCACAAGTGAATGCGGGTGAGGAGTCGGTCAGTAAAGAGAATGAAGGAAGGAAAGCTATGCCTGATGATCATGTTGTTTTGGGATCACCAGCTGAATTCAAAGAAGATATAGTTTGTAATGAGAGAAATCTAAACTATGGCGGTGCTATTGTCTGTCCTGTTAAGGAAGAAGTAATAGTAGAGAGTAATTGACAGCAGCTGCAGAGAATAAGCAGATAACATCTTGTTGTATATAGTTTTTTTATACGCGCCAAGGTTCCTTCTTTGATATAATAATAATAAAACTGGTTAATACAAAAAATGATATTTACACAAAATAACAAAAAGTCTATCTTCATTGCTCAAATTTTATCACTTTCATGTTCATACAAAGGCACGATTCTGATAACGAGTTAATCCGAGATATTAAAGTATTTTGCCATAATTAAGCCGAGAAGCAATTGTGTTTAATTGAAACTTGCTGACATTCATAAAATGCTATAACAAAAATTGTTCTGTACCTTCCAAGGTTTTGATGCTTAAGTTCTGACACTGCGATTAACCTTCACACATTGATACAGAAGAAATTAATCCAAATAACTAAATTTTCACCTAATAAAGTGGTAAATATTGCAGGGCATAGAAAGATTGTGATAAAAGGTAAGCAATCACGAGAAGAGAAAAGGCAAAAGTGATGTTATTACCATGAACAGTCGCGGAGTAACACAAAAATTTACGCATACGGCCCCAGTTCGAAATAAGCACATTTTATTTCGCTATTATCACTTAATTGGATGTCGCTTATTGGTTGTGATATTAGATGATGTGCCTATTGCGAAACGGGCTGGATTGCGCTACAGGCCAGAAAGCGTAAGATTTTAGTAGATAATCGTATCTTACGTATGTATTAAACTATTCGCAGTATCGTTTTACACATTCTTTTACCAAAAATGATATTGTATTACCGGCCAACCCTGTTCCTGGACCTGGCATTTTCTGACAGCTCTGTAAATTCTAACAACAAATAAATCGAGACAGATATTAAATAGTGCAGAGTCATGCATACACGATAAAGAGAGCGTCTGAGTTATTTATTAGTTAGTAGCCGATAAACCGCAACGTTAGAAGATTTGTATTGAACGCCGTATGTGCATAGCATGCAAAATTGCTGGAATTGTATTTACGTTTGGGAAGAGAGTAAGGTTGTGTAAAGTGAGGCATGAGTAGACGTTTGTGCTTGCTGAACTCTTATATCAGTTGGTGACCGATAAACCGTATTGCTAGAAGACTTTATTATGAACGGCCGTATGTACGTTAGGTGGAATGAAGGCGAATTTCTTAAATACGTTGTATTTACGCTTTGGAGGAAGAGAAATGTTATCGTAAAGCGATACAAGCGTGCGCGTGCAATTCTAAGTAGTCGACAACCGTGTCGTTTGTTGTTTAGTGTAAGAGTTCTTTGTTTAACATGCGTAATACAAAGTGACAATTGTTGTGTATTATTCAACTTTAAATTACGCTTTGAAGAGAAAACATAAGTATATATATATATATATAAGTAGACGTGGAAGATGATGGAAATAATGGAAGATAATACTACTTAGTATACAGTATTTATTAATTGCTTACGACGTTAACTTTATAAAAAAGTTGCAATGTTTATTAACGGTTAAGAAGTAGCAATTAGTGAAAATTTTACTTAATGGTATAATCTTAGTTACACTGATCTTTACGATAGGCGATAATATTCCTATTAATATTAAACGATTCTTTTTAATTAATTTTGCAGCATTGATGGTATAATATTCAAATCACCGTAGCCAATAAAGAATTAAGAAATAGAAGTTTGAGATAAATTACATTGGGGTAGTTTATTTTCAGAACTATGCGGTGGGTTTGGCAAAGTCGGCCGTGTTAAAGATTTTACCCTCGAATAGTTATCGACAACTACGAAATAAGGCAGTGTTTAGGCCAGTAAAGGGCTAAACTTGGTCAATAAAAAACAAAAAGCATAATGGCTTTGGATTCTGTGTTTGCACTACACTGTCGGAAATCACCTGATTATTTCGCCACAAACGCTTGCCAAATTAGATATAGAGCGATTTTATCATTTCCTTTGCGAGTGACGTAAGGTCTTCATCTTTGCATACTTGGGTGATTTGAAACTCCGTATCGAAATTTGATTTGTTTATGTAATAAATACAACACTTAATCTGGTTATGCCGAAGTCAAAGAAACGCGTCTCTCCACCTCTTGTTGATATGTCCTATTTGGACCTGAACAACCTAGACTTGGACCGTGCCTACAGTCTTCAAGAGTTCGAATACATCAGTGAACAACTCAAAACTCGTCCCATAAAAGTTAAAGAAGAGTTTGTTTATCACTTTGAGCGAGACAAAGCGGGCAAGCTTGTGCCTATGGCACCCACGATCATTTACAAAGAAGCTGTTGTCGCAGAAATTGCACGTCAACTTGGTAACTGGAATGTTTGGACTAAACAGGGTGGGGTTGTGACAACCTCCCAAGGAGGTTTCAAATTCGGTAGTGGTAGTGGTGAGATCAGAATACCAGACGTGGCTTTTACATCAAAAGAGATTTGTCACAGGTTATCAAACAGGCAAATTTGGACTTTTCAAGGTGAGGCGTTTAGTCCCACAGTTGTCGTAGAAGTGGATGACTTTGATAATATTCAAGGGTAAGTAAAACTGATGCGGTGATAGACCTATCTTGCCAGTATGTTAATATTAAGTTGATATATTGAAAATTAGAAACAATCAACTTGATTACATAATTTTTAGACAAAATCACTTTCTTTATTCTTGATAGGTCAAAATTTCGTGAAATGGATTCAAAGTTTAAAGACATTTACTTTGCACGAGGTACATCTGTCAAGATCGGTCTTTTGATTGATCCAAAGAATCATCACATCTGGCTGTATAGACGAAATGCTGGCACCAATGTTGTTAGACGAAGGAAAAGTCAGTGGCAGAACTTGGTTTTAAATGATATCCTTCCAGGCTTTACTTTGCTCGTAGATCAACTGGAAATTGAACCACTTGTGGTGAGTTTTTTTTTTTTTTACTTTTTATTGTTGTTATGTCATAATATTAATATTTAGGATTATTTATGGATTTGTTTGTAGAATCCTGTGACATCATCATCGCCAATGTCAACAGAATCAACACAATCATCAGAAAAAGAGGCAGGAAGATTGCAATTTAGATGTCCTTATCCTTCATGTGAAGAGACATTTGAAAGCATTTACCTTACAATTGAACATGCTGCACATCATTGATTATGCTAGGTGAGTGTTTATATTGATAACAAATTCTTATTATCAGTAAGAAATATTGGTAGAGGCTGTTTTCCCTCTACGCATCAGTCATTCTTTCTAACCAACGCCATCACACATTTGGTCAAGTCTAGCAATCTGTTAAACATAGTCTCATTCAATAACAATGGTGGTGCAGTCTCTTATAAACTTTAACCATGTAGTCACGTTTGCCAACTCTGTTTATTATGTAAAACAGATAACGTTTTGAGACTTGTACTTGTGAAAAAGGAAACGAAAGTTACAAATGCAAGTGGATTACATACTCCCTTCATGATGTTACGATCGTTCCATAACTGGTTGTAATCGTTAATAATCGTTTGTAATCGATTATAAAACCACGCTTTTCTTGCCTTGCACTAAGTAAAGGGACAAAGTCGTATTAAATAGGCGTCTTCTACTCTTCAGAAAGGTTTAATAATCGCGGGTATGCAGAAGTTTTCACAGTGTTTTTGACCAGTTTTTGCAATCGCTATATTCGCAAAAAAAGTCGTGGACAAAATTTGTGACTTAAGAATTTTGAAAACTGCAACAATATACTAACATTAACATTCGAACAAGCTTTGGATACATAACTGTTTACAATTAAAACAAAGTTACCGTTGCCTTTATAACCGCTTCTACCATGCGAACTAAAGCCAAACACATCTAAACAAAATACTACCTCCATTGCAAACATTCCAACAACGAAACACGTCAACCCTAAAATTTCGTAGACAACATACAAAATTAACACAAACTCTGCGAAGCGTATCTAAAGCATCGCTAGCTACTAATAAACATCGACAAATACACAAAAAGCTATATAAGGACTGCTCGGTATCAGCGCTTGTGTCCGTTATATTGACAATTCTGTAATATTGTCTTACGTGCTTTATATCGGACGCTTAATTAAACTTGTCAACGTTATAACGACAGTTTTTTGTATCTTTTTATTTTATGATAATGTATAACATAAATTTAAGATCGAACATAAAAAGCCTTTAATTGTCTGCTTCTTTTGCTCATGCTTTTTGTAACAACTTTTTTTCTTAACTTTCTCGAATTTAATGGAAAGCTCGCATCTCCATTAAGTCATCTTGACGTATAGTTCTGAAACAATATTAATATTAAACGTTTAAGCGTTTAGCGAACAGACACCTTCCTCTCAACATTAAGCTCTCCACTTTTTCCTCTCTGCATCAATATTTCCTGTATCGACTATCTCTTTGATAGTTTTCTCATCATACACTATATTCTGATTGACGTTAATAAATTTTGTTGCATGAGTTGTTTATCAGACGTTGATTGATAAGAGCTTTTAATATATGTTCTAAAGTTTGGTTTCTAATGTTTGTGAGGGTAAAAAAAAATCATTGCAATACGGAATTGTTACGCGGGTAATATTTAGTATCAACTAGAGCTTGAGTTATGAGGGGCTTTGCCCCCATTTAAATTAATAGTTGTGCTGTGTATTTGATATAAATTTTATATATGCAATTTTCATGTGTAAGTTAGTGATACATGGATGTCAGTTAGAATTATTTTGCGAAAATTATTTAACTCCGGTGGCTTACATAGTACATACTAATACAGGTAGTAGGCTTTTGAATAGAAAAATAAAAAATTTGACATTTGGTTAAAAAAATGTTAGGAATGAGTACGATGTTCTGAAAGCGTTGTTTGTAGTTCTTCCGAGAGAGCGGTGAAGAAAAACTGGGGGAAAAAATTGTCTCTGTGTTATGGAATTGCTTCGATTTTAGGAGGAATTGCACATAGTTGAGGGCATGGATAGCGTCTTTGTTGAGTTGCACAAGTAGAGTATGTTGAAACTTTTAGCGATGTTTGGTTTCCGGTAAAAATTAAATCGATTTGGAGAAATGACGACTGGAGTGGATAGATAAATATTGGTAACCGTTTTGCTTTTTTGAGGTATAATAATCTTCCAAAAAATACGCAGTGTGTTGATACAAGATCGTATTGGAAAAACGGGTGAGAATGTTATGTAGTTGACGGTTTGGAATTTGAACAGATTCATATTGAAGAGGATGGTGTATAAGTAAGTGGTGATTCTATGTATTCAGTGAAATCTGTAGCCATTTGGTTTGGGAAGATATAGCGTAAATTATGCAAATTTGTAGGTACATGGTGCATTTAGCGTAGTCTGTAACCTGTGACCGGGGTTGGATGAATGTAAATTGTGACATTTTATTTAAAAAGTAACCTTGAATTGAGTGATAACAATGTCTTGTTCTTTTATGTGTGATTTAGGGATGGAATATATGTATGTGAACATACTTATTGAGTGTTGTTTAGTGGGGTCTGGTCCATTTCGCTGACAATCATTTCACCAATAGTATGTTTTACCGACAAGAATTTTGAAAATGTTATTGGAAAGGAGTGGTGCGACTAACCGTATTGAGTTTAAATTAATTAAGGAAATCGATTGCAGTTATATTTCAAGTTTCGTAATTTTTGGCGTCCTGAATAAGGAATGGTTTGAAAAGCGGTATTAGTATAGTTTATGACATTTTATTTGAAAGGTAAAACTTTAAATGTGACGGTAAAAATTTCGATACATACGGTCCAGACTGGCCTTTTCTGTATAATAAAACATTCGAATTTAGTGTCAATTTAATAATGTGTGATGATTGTTTAAGATAGGCTTAGTTTGTATAGATCGTAAACAAACAAAATAATTTAAGTCATTAGTAATATGGGTTGATTATAGTGTTTGATTCGAGGATTTAATGCATCATCGCATTAGCATTTAACATTATGGTGTGTTAAATGTGATAAAGTGAAATATAGTATTAGCTTCTGTATATCAATTGGTTAATATCGTACATAAAATAGATTTGGTGTATTGGATTGCAAGACTTCTTTCGAGTTCGTTTGGCAGGAGGTTCGGACTGCGCTGGTGAAGAATGAGTACGTTGTTGAGTATGGTCAATATCTCCACCCACAGTTAATGTTTATCTTCATTATCGCACGATACGGTAGAAGAAGTTTCCACCTTCTTAGTGAGCAGAGATTTCGCGATATCTGCGATTTTGAATACTTTAACTTTCTTATTCGTTTGTTCGTGATTAGGGTGGTGATTGCGATATCGTTTTAAGTAGAACTGCTACTTGATTTTCGATAGTGTTTTTAGCGGACGTACTGTTACTTTCTTATTTTATTTTCCAAAAAAGCGGGCGCTATGGTTGGGAGTTGTTGATTTAGTGCCGATAAATTGGAATTCTAAAGTTTCGCAATACATTGACTGGTCGATAATGATTAGAATTCCGATACAATGTATTAGCGATGATTTTTTTGCGGATGTAAATGAATTTTCAGCCGTCGCTCCAGAGGGATGGATCAAGGTGATCGTTATTGGATCGTAGGAGTCAGCGGATATAAGGTTTTACTAGGAGGGGCAGATGATATGTCGATTCTGTTTGCGGTGAACAATGAATATCGTCAATTCACAGCGGATCGTCCGCGGGCTCCCACAAGTAGACATCGAATTAACTGTGCAGGGTCGACCAATAAATACCTTGATCGACAAATGCATTTATAAGAATATCAATACGAGCAGCATCATGACGACGAACCTGTTAGACTTGCTTCTGTGCTGGTGTGTCCAACTAAAGAAATTATGGGGTTTGCAATAGGCATATTTTCATCTGACAGAGATAGAGAAATGCTCACGGTGATAGTTATATCAATAGAAGCATTTTGAGATAAAGTGAATTTACTCATGATTTAGTAAATTGATTCTTTATGTAAAGGTTGTAGAGGTAAAAATTCGGCTGTGTCTTCAGATTGCGAAATGGGAATCCAACAGGTAAAGTTATAAATAAGGAAATTTCCATCACTATTTATTCTGGCCTTTCTGTACGGTGTATTTAGAATTTTTGTCTTCAGTTAGGGAGATCACGTAAAACGCTGTTGAAGCGTAGCGATCATGACAGCGGTTGACAGGTGACGAGTCAAGCACCAAGTCGAAGGCCTTGTCTTGTTTAACTTATAGATAGAATTTCCGTTCTACTAGTAATCGCGTTTATATTATTGCGCCGGGAGGGTATTACGTATAGGTGAATAGGAAAGGCGCGCATAGTTAAATAAGAAACGTCACTTATTAGAATGAATAGTAACATAGCAGAACAAACGCAATAGGCACCGAAGGCGTCTCAAGCATTCAGTCTTAATCTGTAGTAAGGGTAAAGATAGTGAGCTAAACCTCCTGTCGACTGAACCGCCCACAGTTAGTTCGCTCCCCCAATTATACCCTAACTATTACGCCGACCGCAACACTTAAGACTTGATCGGAAAGCAGTAACTTTTAAAAGCTTCACAAATTTCTGCACACACATTAAGCTTATTTTCTGATTATCTATCTCGATACACAGGGAAAACACATTATTAATTTAAATCATTATGTTATTAGACACAAACAATAAACTTGCGTAATTATTCGAATCGAATTACAACGCTTTATTTATAATTGAATGCTGAAAGTGCAAAAATAGACACTGACGATTCATCGTCTCGATGTGAGACAAATTATGTCAATGTTCGATCCTTTCATCAGGGACGAACGACAGTAAATTATCCATGTTTGCTGTTGTAGGATTCGTCACCTTTAAAATCTACAGTGAGAATAGCCTGTCCAGCGTCTCCCATAGTTCCTCTGTAACTGTAATTTCCAAATAGCTTTTCCTCGTAATGGTTACTATTCCCTCGATGGGAACCATCATTGTACATTTCGTAAAACAAATCTAACCCAGCAACGTAAAAAAAAACAACTTAATATTGCGATATAAAAATTGGATAAACAGATTCAGAGTTTGAAATGTTTTACCTTGAGGCTTCTTTGTACCTTCATAGACTTTAACGTTCCAGCGATTTGCATACCCGACATACCAGAATGGGACACTCCACATTACGGCTAAAGATAGGTTGCGTCCTCTGATTTTATAAGTAATAACTCCCGCTGTTCCTGCAGTCGAGTATTCGGTCTTACGGGCACCCCAAGCCAAACCTTTACCACTGACTACTGAATCAAAGGGTAGTCCAAATTTGGATGTCCCATTGATATACCATACTCGAGGTTTTTCAAGAGTATCTTGCGAATAATTCTTAACGGCAATAGCAATTTTTCTGCTACTCCGTAGCATCTGTATATTAAACATGCAAATAAGAACGTTATAATGTAAACTACTATAGTAATAGTTCAAGCCTAGCAATTTGTGCGGCCGGCACAATATTAGCCTACTTAAATTCGGACATCTCTAATAATCTTAACGATAATTATCAGTTTTGACAAATAATTGGTTATACTATACTTTTAAGATCTCATTTAGGAAAACATCAGTGATTATTGAATTGTAAAAAACGCCTGGTTTTGGTTCTTCTTGCGACATGATGGAAAAGCGAGATGAGAAAGTTCCGGAGTTCGGGGTTTTTATAGCAATCTTCATTGGCGCTCAGCAATTGTGTGACTTCAGTCCTAATCTGGGTTATAGTGGTAAAGATAACGATAAGCGAGTCATGTGATAAATGTTTTCAAACGTCATACCTAACTTATTCGTTCTTAGTTACAATATATATTTCCTAGTTTTTGAAACGCCGCCTTTTATATTTAGAAAGTACATAATAATAATAAGCAACTCAAAAGCTCATTGTCAAGGCTCACTTTTGAAATGTTTGGAATGTTTGAAATTTTGGAATACTCCATTCCTGATATTAAAAAGTAATCGGATAAGTGCCTAATCACAACGTAATATACCAAATAGAAATCGAAATGCTTTTTTTTATTATAATTATTGAAATATCAATTATTCGACTGGGTATATCAATAAACTCTCTGCCAAGTTGTTGTAAAAATATCTGTTGAAACAAGTCCCGGTATGCAAAATCTGCCATGGAAAAATTCATAACGGAGTTTAATAACGAAACGAGAACTCGTAATTAATTATAGAAACAATATTTGTCTAAATAATTGGTTAGAGACAAGTGACTTTACTCGACTAGTCTAGTCGAAACACCCAATCGAAGATACCCTGATTAATTTAAATAGAATTTCCGCTTTAATTCTAAATTCTGCGTTACAATACTTATTTAATCCGCAAGTGCCTTATTTGGATATATTAAGACTTCTCGTTTAGATAAGCGCCCGTATAAATTATTGAGATTTAGATTCAGTCTTAATTGACAATCACAGAATAAGGGGTGGTGACATGAAGCTAAATTTGACAGCATCCCCGTTCGGAAGAATAAGAACATGACTACGCGAAAAATAATAGCTCTCCCAACTACCTAGACTAACTACTACAACCGCAACTTGCGGGTGTATCTTGTAACCAGATCTATTTTAACAGCAGAGTTAACAATTTGCTTGGAAAAAATCTCTTCGTCATAAGTGAATTGTAAACAAAAAATTTCCTGACTTGCCTCTTAATTTGTCAATGGGCAAATGTATTGATATTATTAAAAAAAAAAAGTAAATAAAACTGAAAAGAACCGAGACAAAGGTTGCTAGATAGGATTAAAGTAATTAGAGCACGATGGGCTAATACTCAACTTGAGACTCTTGATTGGAAAAAAGTAAATTAGTTCCAACTATCAAAAACAAAAAACAAACGTGTGATGTCTGACTGACAATAATACAATGGTACTAAGAAAAACTAACTAATATTAATATCAGATTCTTGTTCTTGTATGTAAAAATCAAATATACCCTAGGATAAAAAATTGTACTAGTAAAATTACCAAACTTTAGATGAGTTGTTTATTATGAAACTGGCTTAATGCTATTTATATTATTAAAACACATAAAAAGATAATCTACTTATTCAATAGCTAGATATGTGTCTCCGTGCTTCTTTATATTTGTTTCTTGCTTCATCACAATTGAGTCTTATTTTCTTATGCGCAAATAGATTACAACTTAAAAAGTCTATGTCAGTTTCAGTTTGAATGTTAGTCCCCAGCATGACTTTGGATTGCATGAGCAAAAACTTTCTGGCCACCTCCAATTTTGCAAATTATGAGAATGCAGTGAAAGCAAAGAATAATCTCTTGTGTATATAATTATAAAAGGATAACCTTTTGAACGCGTTCACTATAACGTTATATTGATTGACACACGTGACAAATATTTTAACAGTTTTATGGTCATTCTGACTATGAAAGATTGAATCCGGTACTCAAGGTACAAAAATGTTCTTTTCTTGTTCGTTTTAATGAAAACATACATTCAAGAGAAGGAAACCCCTCAGATTTCGTCGTCACTATCCCATAGTTCCCAAAAGCTGTTAATCTTCTATTTCTTTTTCTTTTTCTTCTTTTTCTTCTTACCACTATCGTCACCTTTCCCGTCACTTTTTTCATCACCCTTCTCGTCACCCTTCTCTTCAATTTTCCCATCTCCTTTCTCATCAAGTTTCCCATCTCCTTTCTCATCAATTTTCTCTTCTCCTTTCTCGTCACCCTTTTCCTCCTCACCTTTCTCCTCACCTTTCTCTGTTTCACTTTTAAGCCAATCTGTATCTGCCATTTTTTCCAATGGTAACCACTTCAACGCCTGTATTATAACCCTCCCAAACTCGATATATTCTGAATAGTCAATCATTTCTTCAACTATTTTCCTAACTCCTTTTCGTCCCGAATCAATGTCCAATGCTGCGATAACAGATTCCATCGCTTCAGCATATATGCTATTCGAAAATTCCTTTATTTGGGGAGCAATCAATAACCGAGGTATTCCATAGATTTCGGCAAAAACACCCAAGGCGTCCCTCGATACGAGACTTTGTCGCATGATAGTGATATCGCCAGTACTGAGATGAGGGTGACGTATAAGAAGTGCTCGCGAAACTTCTACGTTGAGAATACCATCACCCAGAAATGCCAATTTCTTGAAACTGAGTCCATTTTGAATGAATGGTAATAACTCTGGGTCATCGTGATATATAAAAAAGACTGGATTTTCCCGTCGAGGATGCGTGAGAGCTATTTCACGTAGCAAAAAGTTTTTAAATTGTGGAAGATGAAGCATTTGGTATGTTTTAAATTCAGGTTTTTTCCTTTCTTCTTCTTTCAACATTGGTAGAGTGCTAGGTGGTGGCGGCGGAGCTATCAACTTTATTGGTTCTATGGGTTTAAACCATCGCCCCATCAGATCTGCAATACCTTTGATACGCAGGATTGGTTGTAAAAATCGTCGCATGTTTTTAAAAGGGAGGGAAGTACAGGAGAAAAAAAAAAGGACTATTTTAAATGTTTAATCGGCGGATCAAAAAAATTCTTGTGTTTCACTTGAAAAAAATAACCACTAAATAGGGATACAATATGAATTCCGATGTCAACAACCGACGCATTCGTAAATAAATTATTTGGGAGATATCGTGCAATATATTGTACATCTATCGCATGCGCCGTCTTCCCCTTGACGCCCTTCTTCGCCCTCTTCCTCTTCCCCTTCCCCTTCCCCGTCCTCTCCCTCTCCCTCTATAAGACGACGGCTGACGAGCAATTCTATTGACGATAAGCAAATAGCATGATGTTAATAACGCCCTAATAACAAAGCTGAATATTTGTAGAATGATGGATTTTACCTGGTTTTTAAAAGGCTGGAAATTTCATCGTCACAAAGAATACAACCCTCCAAGGGCTCTCTTGTCTGATTTTTACTAAACTCTATTTTTAGTATAGAAGAGCCACAGTCATCACAATACTCATCCTTTGTAACAGAAACAGCTGTAAGGATTAAAAACAAATTTCCAATTAATGACTATGTATACGTTTGGCCGTGGTCATGTATGACAATAATCCAACCTTTAAGCTTATCAGTAAATGCCGAGACCAAATTGCAAGAATTGCAACAAAGATTCCATTGAGTACTCAACGTAGCATTAAGAACTAGTCGACCCTTGCACCCTGTCACCTCGGCTTGAGGGCACGGGCACACTGTATTCCGTATCATAGACTGTGGGCATGTCGGGTGCGTACATTTATTACATCCCATTCCTTATTAGCAGGGAAAATAGTGTAAATAATATATAAGTGGGAAAACTAGTAGAAACCCAGATAGTACTCGAGCACGCAATACAATACCCTTGCTGATATTTTCAAAAGGCGGGTAATTATAACAATAAGGACACAATTGGTAACCCATTCCGTCAGATCCAGTTGAGAAAAGAACCAACTCGAAATCATCCAAAGGCTTGAAAATATTGGCATATTTAACCCGTTGAGAAATCAAGACATGACTGAAAGCCGATGTATTGTATTGTAAATTACTTACACATTTGAGTTCCTTGTATGGCTACATGTGTGAAGTGAAATAAGATTAATGAGTGCTGACGCCGTAGTACTCGCATACGCTACCAGCTAAGTTTATATACCTTAATAGATCCGTTTTGTGGAAGTGAATAAGTCTCGTCACACGTCTTACAATGAAGTCTTTGTGGCCTAGAGGAATCGTTAAAGTCAAAAACAGCTACTGAAAAATACGAGAAAGCTTGTAATCACCTTGATGCGATATACTTCATATATCTTGTAAAAAAAGTGATAGGTTAGAGCTAACAAATCCACCGATAGAATCACCAAGGCAAGATAGCAACTCAGTCCTCACCTCCTGCATTTGCCACACCTAGACATGATCTTTCCAGTTTCAGCAATAACAGAAAAAGTCGCTTCGAATAGTTGATCCATTTCACCAATCTATGATAATGTGCTCAATGACATACTTTTTCTATATCAGTTTTTAAAATTTTTTCAATTCTGATCCATACCTTTTCTGTAAAATACTTGAATTTTGCTGAAAACAGTTTCAACGAGTGATCAAGCACGTCTTTGAATTTCGCTTGTCCTAATGCAATATAATTGAGTTGTTTTTCAACATCACTTCGCATGGTTGGTAAAGAGAGGTCAGGATCAATTTTCTCTGTAAACGGAAACGTACATATTAACGAATTGGACGTGCAAGTAGAATAAAATCAGACAAGGTCGATTCATACTTACGGTATCTATACAAAACGCGTAACAGTCATCACAAATTAGAATCAAAATACAGTAAAGCAAAAGAAACCGAATGTGCTACAATTTACCCATGAATGAGCACAATTCCTATGAATGCCATGTAATGTTATTAATACTTGCCAGTATTCACAGATATACAAGACAGCCTTTTTTTCACTTACCCAAGTTTGTCGGTACAAGCCGTCGTGCATTACCCTCAACTTTGACATAATTTCTCTGACATATGTTATTGATATGCACAGGAATCGATGCGTCTGTTCCAATCCCATGCTTCTCCATCTACAAAAACAGCAATAGTCAAAATTAAAACGTCTCTTCAAACTGAAAGCGTTCGAACCGAGTTTTTTAACAATGCATTACCAAACCAATAACTTCGCTCTCGGTCAAATAATCTGGTGGGTGTGTTTGACCTTCGGTCAATTTTACATTGGTAATGTCCAATCGTTCACCTTCTTTATACTCGGGTATAAAAGTGTCTGACGATGTGCGAGAATATAAAATGCTAGTAAATCCAGCTCGATCAACTCGTGATCCTAAACAAAGTTAAAAAAAAAAAAAGAACACATTTCGGTTACATCTATGAAAAAGCCATTACGCCCGCGCTGCAAGATTGGTTTCAACTTTTTACCTGAACATTCAAATATCTCGTTATTTATTTTAATGATAGCCGTTGTACGGATATATCGCATATCAGGACTTATCGAACCAAGGAAATGGCGCGTCACGTAGCTATATACACGCCAAGTATCGCCAGAAAGCTCTCCTTCTTCAGCCTTTCGCATGGGCGTTCTGTGACAAAAATAAAAAGGTTTAGTACAACACAGTGTAAAAAACAAACTGTCTTCAAAGTTTCGTTAGACGCATACATAGGCGGATGGTCACCAACATCCACTCCACCACTAGGTTTGTGAACTCCATTTTCTAAAAGCTCGCTTGCGTACGATCCCCTGAAGCAATAAATAGCAACAACAAGTCAATGCTCGTGCATAATGCAACTTTTGTCAAGTGTAAATAAAATGTGCGTACCAAACACCGTGGGCCTGTTGTGTTCTTAGCACGGCATTTATATCAAAATTCTTGGGGTATGATGTTGTTTCCGTTCGCGGATAGGAAATGTAACCTTGCATGTATAGACGTTCCGCTATAGACATCTACAATTTACTAAAGATTAGAACAACAACAGCAAGAAAGCAAGAAACAACAAAAGCAATTAGTATTAAACCAAAAAATCGAACCACTTTTGTTTACCATATCATGTGGACCTATTCCCAGAGCGGACGATCCGTGTTTGAGAAGCTCAACCTAAGTGACAAGTTTTCGATAAACGCAAGCAATAATCTCTGATACAACGTCGATAAAATGGTTTCTTACAGTGTTCAAAGCATGCGGTCTCGATTTGGTCTTTCGTTCCGATTTAACCGATATAACACTGAATAAATCATAATAAGCGCGATAAGATAACTAATAAAATAGCATGCTCCAACTCCAACTTAGACTCTTGGTCACGCGATGATGAACGAATATACTCACATCGCTTCATTAGCCTCTTTAACACAATTCTCAAAGATTCTTGCAATCTGCCTGTCAAACACTCGTTCCCTTTTCCAATGTAACAACGTCTCTTCTTTATCCTTGTCATTATTGTTTTTTCTCGCAACAGTCACTGCTAAACTCCAAAACGGTTCAGGAGAGAATGACTGTATTTGGTCGTGACGCGAAACGCAAAACGAAAGTGTTGGTGTCTGGCATGGACCATACGATATTACTGCAGAGTCCAGGTTGCCATATTTTCCTTGGAAGAATCGTGTTTGAAATCTTGTAAACGCACAACCAATCTATATGACCGGAAAAAAGTATTGTTAATGGTATGATGATAAAAACCATTTTGACAAGGGTGTGTGGAAAAAAAAAAAGAAGGGTAATACCTTTAGATCGAGTTCCTGTCTTGCATCAACGGCTATGGAATAATAATCCCAAAGAGAATGGTCATGACGTGAAACATCGGATAGCTTACATACTTTGGGGAAAAAGGGGGCCTTACCTAGCGATTCGTTTTTGTTCGGGTATACAAGATTATCCATTGCCCTACGGATATCAGTGTGTGTGATGGCTGTGCAGAAAAGGCTTTGCGTGTCAGTTTCACGTTCACACATAGGTTATGCTAGCTTACTGTAGCAAGACTTCACCTCACCAGAGAACTTTGCTCTCAATATTCTGTTTTCTTTAGTCTTCTGTGGTTCTTTCATACTATTGATGACGTTATCGATAACTTCAAAGCATATATTTTCGCCTTCTCGATCACAGTCAAGCCAGAGAACGACATAATCTGCTCCTTTACTTGAAATAAGTTAGTGGATAAAACTCGTTTATAGATATATCACAAGAAATGTTTGGTCATACCTCTCGACTCGTTTTGAAGATGTTTCGTTATGTGTTGCTAAAACAGATTCATTACCAATTTTCAGTGGTCGTGAAAGCTAGTAAAGTATACGTTTAAGAAAAGAAAATCTTCACCTTGGAATTTGCTTCCAATTTTAAAGTTGGCGCAGTGAACAATTCCAAAGGATCAGTTGCATCCCAGTTGTTGTGACTCTTTGGAAAATCGAGACTATTAAAAAAACTCTCATGAGATTTTCGTCCAAAATACACACACTACGTATTCAACTACAAAGCTGACTGACCTGTATACATGTCCTATTTGACAACTCTTGTTATTGTATGTTTGATTTATATGTTTCCTTTTTGTTTTGCGTAGCATGTATCAAACTCGTACCTGTTACAGATGTAAACTTAAACCGGGCATTCTGATTTCGGAATTGACCATTATACTCGTGGACAGGTGTATAAGATTTGCGGGTTTGATACTGTATTGATATCAAAGTCAATTTGCGTGCGATTAACCAGAGATATCAAAAGGATGGAATGATTAGAATTTTAATCAACCTGTCCATTAGGGGCAAGGATCTTTGAGATCGATTCCGCAAGAGAAGGTTTCTCCGCCACCTAATATTAAACCGGTGGAATATTAAGATATGTAAATTGAAGAAAAATTGCATCGTGAACGGACCATAAACACGGTGACTGATGCCATTTATAACGAGCAATCTCAATTTCCAATTTCTGTGCAAGTTGTATCTCTTGGGATTATACCGGCTTTCGATCTGTTTTTTGGTGCGATTATCTCTA